TTATTATTGTTGTTATCATCATCATCATCATCATCATCATCATCATCATCATCATCATCATCATCATCATCATCATCATCATCATCATCATCACTACTTCTTTTGCTTAGTTTTTAATGTTTTTATTTAGATGATCGTTCCCTTTTATTGCCCCAGAAAGAAAACAAGAAAAGGGTGTGGCAATTAACCCAGGACAAGCTAGGTAATCAATGCAAACAGGATACGCCCAAGTGCTGTCTCCAGTGCTCTCGCAAACAACAACGCGAATCAAACTACGTCTTGTAAATAACGGATGTTTGCATGGTCAGTTTTCTTGAAATGTGCGACCATTCAGCGCAAATACAGCCACATTGCGCCAGGAACAGGTTAGGGTAATTGTTTTGGGTGTCTATTGTTTGTACCCCTGTAATACGTTCACTTGAAATATATAAGTAAGGTGGAGACTACACACAAGAACGCATATTATTATAGACCTTGTGCGTATGCATGAGTGAACCTCGCCTTTGTAACATCCAATGTCATTGAAGACGACCAAGACAAATTTATCCCTGCGAGATGAATAAAGATTGTCATTGTCATCGTCACTGTCACCGTCATTGTCAATTATTAGAAAGTAAAAGAAGAGTATTTAACAAGTGCTGTTGTAAACATCACATACGGTAACCCCCCCCCACCCAAAAAAAGAAGAAAAAAAAAGAAGAAAAAGAAAAACCTGCCCTAAGCCGACAGAGAGAAAAGTCGACAGACTCGTAAAAAGACTATCAAATTTCTGGCCACTACAACAGCAATTGTGGAACTGCGCACAAAATGTCACGAGCTTCAATACTTCTGCACAATTGTTTTGTAGATAAAGTTACGGGAAGTTGTAGTAGAGCAAAGAGAAATGCCTAAGCCAATGGCGTTGTGGTAAAAGGATTAGAAGGTAGTGCCGTTGGTGCTGTTAATCCAACACTTGTGTTCGTGCCCCTTGAACTTATATCATTTTGAAATGATTAGAAAACAAAAGAGAAGAATCCTCAATTTTTTATTTGATCGTTTGAGTGAACAACAGCAATGTCCGAGGTAAACACCAAGTCAAATAACAGAGATATAAAATATTGAACGACAGTTATGAGAGCAATATAAATTACACTAATTACAATAGCAACAGCATTAATAGTGAGCGACAGGAAACCAACCCCTCCCCCTAAAAATATTTTAAAACATAACTAACAACAACAACATTATCAACAGCAACAACAATAACAAAACAGCAGCAGCAGCAGCAGC